TCAGTAAATTTGGTATTTTCTAAGTTTTAGAGCGATTGTGTCATAAACTTCATCCCGATGTGAATAATGAATCGGACCTCATCGTGTGATGAGAGGCTGCGCAGTGAGATTTCGACTAATGTTGCCATGCCGATATGCTGGCAGTTATAATAAGGGCAGCACATTAGGAAGCAATTCAGCCGAGTTGTATCAAAAGGTGGAATTGTGGCGCTGTAGAGAAGAGAAAAGACCCTCCAGCCATAGAAAACAGTAAATGACCTGACAAACACCCACACTGCACACACTCACTCTGAATGAACTCAATGAACATGCAACCTTATGCATCTCCAGAGGTACAACAGCGACCCGGAGACCTGACAAGGCAATCCAGAGAGCTCCAGTGAATTGAGGAAGCAGGGAAGAGAGGATGAATGAAGGGGGAACATTTTCAAGTGGGGGGACAACTTTGAATGCGATAAAATAGGAATTGGAGGCAGAAGACGAGGAGGTGGTGTGGGAAGAGAGAGGCGGAATAACAGGAGAGGAGAAAAAGCGAACGGAGAGGTGGAAGCAAATGTGGGAGGAGTGGGAAAAGACATGAAGACAGAGTGTAAAAACGGAGGAGAGGCTGCAATCGCGAGGCTCTAAAGTGAGCGAGGGCCCGGGAGAAGAAAGAGGGATGTGTTCTGCATGCGGCCCAGATGAGAGCGAGGGAGACAGGGAGATAAACTGTCAAAAGGAGCCGGGGAATCCGGTGCGACAGAGAGCAAGCACGGATGCATTTAGATGTAGCCCTGCATGCGAGGAAGGAGGAGAGGAGGTGTTGGGTGGCTGGGGGGGGGGACCGAGCGCGGCCGAAATATCTGGGTGAGAGCCTGGGAGAGGGAGAGCGGGATGGTGGCTGGTGATTCGTCGATGCTATCTGCGCACGGGTGGATGTGTGTGACACAATCTCAAATTGGAAATCGCTGTTTCAATCTCGCCTCACTCCGCGGCTACCCGCTCTGCCGATAACAAGAGCGGCCTAATTCTATTAAAAATATCCCATGAGTGCAGCGGCGGTGGCTGAGGAGGAAACGGCGAGGGGAGAGGACGGCGGAGGGATCGCACGGGAGGAAGGGCAGGAAACGGAGCCCGAATGTAAGAGGGAGAAGGGAAAGAGCAGCTAACAAGGAAAAGAAACACACACAAAAAAAACAGTTAGCCCTGAAGTGATTGTGCAGGAAGAAAGTTTGGCTTGACTTCTGCTGTATCTCTGTACCCCATCTGCCCATCTTCTCTCCCAACCTCTCCATCTCGGCAAATCAGCCCTCTTCATCTATCTAACCACCCATCTGCCTATTTATCGCCGTACCCATCTGCCAGCTCTTATCACCCTCCACAGGTTACTGTTCTCATTTAGGACAGCCTCCTCTCCCCCAGCCCCCACTGCTTCTCCACTGTCTTTTATCAAGCCTTCCACTCCATCTCCCACCGCTCTTCTCAATCATTTTTGACTCTTCACATCCATTTAGCCGGCTCGCTTTCCTGCACAAAGCAAGCCAACCTCGAAGCTCGACAGCCCCTCTCTGTTTCATCTCGCTCTTCCAACACCTCAGCCAAGTGGAAGACTCCGAACGTCACTTTGTTTTCCACGTTTGACTACAAATGGAACCGTGAAGGTGACGGTGAACACCGGCAAACCCGCAAAACAATCTGATTCCCTTTAATTAATAAGTGCCTTCAATGGAAGAGACTCAGAAACAGTTTTTCTCACATCAAATCAGACTAAATGTTTCCTGTTTCAAGTCAACAACATGGTAAAACAATAAGGGAGATACAGTAATGATTGCTAAGTCTTTAAAGAATGAGGAGAAGCCCCAATAACGTTTCACTGAATGACTACTGGAGATAGGAAGCAGTTGAATCATCAACAGATTTCATTTAAATGATAAAATATCTTATAAAATAGACATTTTATAAAATAGATTTTATGTTTTTAAGTCTTGATATTGATCCATGATGGCAGGAGTTTAAAAGGTTCAAGAAATGGGTCAAGACATGATATATTAAGGTTTTAAAAAGCTTTATCACACCATCGCAGCAGTTTAAAAACACTTTATATGGCTTCTCTCTCTGAAGCCACATAAAGCGTCAGCGTGGTCATGATTTAACACTGCTGATGTGCACTGATGGTCAGTTGCCTGAAGAAGCCTGCTGCACTTTCGAGCAATAAAGACAAATTCAATTGTTGCTGGAAATACCCAATATAAAATATTTACAAAAGCACAGACAATAATGTGAGGAAGCATAAACTGAAGGAGAGCCACCTGTCATGCATATTAGGATGCCATTACTTCAAAAACCACAGTTATCAAACAAAAAGTGGCATGACTGTGGCTGAGCTAGCTACAAAGGTAGCCTACTTAAATTAGCTAGTCTTTGTAAAGTAGCTAGCCTACTTACAGAGAGTAGCTAGCTTTTATAAGGTAGCTAGCCTACTTACAAAGGTAGCTAGCCTACTTACAAAGGTAGCTAGCCTACTTAGGGAGCTAGCCTACTAGTTACCTTTATAAGCTAATATTGTTCTCTACAGAGCAAAACAGCAAAAGTTATAAGAAATTCAGAACTTAAAATTCATAGAAAATGTATTCCACACAGTTGAAGTTTATACATAAATAAAAGATTATCAGAATAATACATATTTTTATGTTAGTGTTGTTCTTTTGGATAAAAGACATCATGTGAATTATTCTTATTCAAACTTTTTCTTTTGGAAAATTCTGATACCGTAAAACCATATAGTTTTTACGTAAGGTTAGACAAAACATGCTAGCCTATGTCTTGAAGGGAAGGTCACGACCTTTTGCTCCCCTCACCATTTCATGTCTGACATGTTGCACAATACCCCCACTTCTTTCACAGAACATTATGGTCTTGGCCAACAGGCCGAATATGATTGACAAGTTTTATTGGACAGAACTAGAATTGTTACGATCCAGCAAATATTCAATCCAAGCAGCTATATTTGCGATTACAGATTTGCATACACTGATAGTGCAGCGTTTTGCTGTAATTCCATTTATTGTGCAGCACTGCCATTTACTGATTGAGAAAAATGTAATCTCAAAATAATTTCAGAGGCTACAAGTGCATGTTGTGAGACAGATAAACAGTTTTCAGAAAGGAAAAAAAAAAGGTTTTTAGGGAATGAATCACTGACGGAGGTAAATCAAATATCAGACTTCAGGCATCTCATTCGTTCGCGATATCAGTTTTCTTGCAAAATCCCACTCGCTCTGCCTCTAACTTGGTTCTTGACAGATTGTTTGGTTCACTTTATGGGTATGTTGTCAGGAGTTGATAGAAAACAGTCATGGTTATCAGAGACAGAACTGGGGGAGGCTGAGATAAAGGTGAGTGTTTCTGTCAAACTCCCATAAAAAAAAAAAAAAAGATGCTGGGAATCCTCACTGGTAGACGACGCCACAACGTGCAGCATCCTATTTTCTTTGCGTTGCAAATCTGAACATTTATCCAGCTGTGTGGCAGATAATCCTGTTCACTCCACTTGCTAAAACTAAAACGGGGGAATCTAGCCGTATCTGATTCTTGCTGGGCCTCGAATGTCGAGCAATGAAATCGAGGCTCAGCTGTTCGCAGCAGCTTGGCCAGCTGAGACCGACGATGCGAGCGAAGACAAAAGGAGAAAACTCAACAATCAGTCCGGGAACTTCTCCAAGGCGAAATCCTTTCGCCTTGCTCAAAGCGTCATGCGAAGCAGCATAACAAAGCTGGGGGAGATAGAGCTGGAAGACCGTGGGTGGCTTTTGTGCATGAAGTTGATCTACAGCAAAAAAAAAAAAAGTAAACTGCTATGACTTCAGCAGGCAGGCAATGGAGTGCCAGACTAATGAACTAATCAGACAGTCATTAGTTACTATCAGCTGAAGTCCAGGCCAGACATTTTTTTCCCCCTTCTCCTTCCTTTGCTCCTTCACAGCCAGAGAGAAGGGGAGCACGTAGGGAGCAGGATGCTCACTCAGCTGTGAAAGAGACTGTGTGTGTGTGTGTGTGTGTGTGTGTGTGTGTGTGTGTGTGTGTGTGTGTGTGTGCGTCCGTGCGTGCGTGCGTGCGTGCATGTGTGTGTGCGCTGACCCTGCTGCTTGTGCCGCTTCGCGCTCAAACACACAGACCGGCGTGCGCGTCGGCGGTGCGTGCTTACAGCCATTAAACGCTGCAGCTTCTACTGATGATCGCCTGTCATAGCAATAAACTCGGTCTGAAACGCTGAACGCAAAAAACGAGGAGAGGGGGAGGATGGGGCATTTATGGTGGGGGCGTCCTGTGGTGGGTGGGAGGGACAGACGGTGGGGTGGGTGGGTGAGTGGGGGAACGAATTAGACAGTTGGGAGACAGTCAAAGCTGAGAGATAATACGCTTGGATTAGCAAAGAGAGAGCCGAAGAGTCCGAGATGAAGTGGTGGAGATACGGAGAAGGGCAGTTGTGTAATCTTGGGCTTTAAGATGAGCCGGCTACCGCTGAGGTCAGTGGAGGAGCTCTAAATTACAGCGGATGAATAGATGTGGGGGGGATTGTGGAGAAGTAGGTAGCCTTACGACGAGGCTAACGATGACAGAGATAAAGATGTGTGCGAACAAGGGATTAAGACAATTACTGTTTATGTATCTGTATGGTGGCTCAGATCTAATCCCTCACTCAAATAGACCTTGGATTAGGTCAAGCAGAGAAAACAACAAGGGAGACGCATCAGGAGACATGAAATTAAAAAAAAAACTGATTAAAAACGAGCAGATAATCGGTCTCGGCTCTGAATCTAAAAATAAGTTTCAGCGACGCAGATGAAACATCATTAATGATCTGTGTTCAGGTAGAAAGAAAAGGAATTTATAAAACACCAACAATACCTGAATGGTCAGATTTGTGGAGGGACATTCGGACCTCAGACAGAAGGATAAACCCCGAGACAGGGTCTTAATTGATTAGCTGGTGGCTACCAAGTAATCTTACATATTCTTACCTCATAGTCCATAGATTTTACCCAGGTGGCTTTGCTTCATCCTATTTTTCTGTTCAGTCTGGCACAAGCTATAAAAACAGAAGATAAGGAGAGTTGGTTAGATAAAACCCTTGAATCCAGTGTAAAGACTGCCAACAAGTGAAGACATACTAAACTTGTGATACAAGCAAGTGTATTAAACTATGATTATTTGATGCAGTTGTGGAAAAATTTAACTTTTATTAAAAAAATATGTTTTTTTTAGACATTTGTTAGAACTCCCACTGTCATGACAGTATAAAATGAGGCAGGTAATCTGTGCGAAAAACCAGCTCCCTGCAGTCCTACTGCCATATGCAGAAATACACCACTTGGTCAGAAACAACCAATCAGAGCCAGGAGGAGGAGCTTAGTGCTGCCAATCACCCTCATGCATTCTCATCTAACTCCGTCCTCCTTTCTCTCTGCTGTGCTACACGTAGTTTCCCAAAACGGCGTCTGCCATAAATGCTCAGGCTAGTTAGCGTAGCCATTGATGACGGCGGCGGATCAACAGTTTTCCTGCATCTGTAAGTTGTTTCTCCGCCATTAGCATACTGAGCAGCATATACACAAGCATGATTGACCACACTAGCACTTTATTTTTACCAACATGGATGATAACATGTTCTGTCATTGTGGTTTTTCTTACCAAAATAATAAAAGTACAGTCATCTTGATGTTCCTATAAAATGCAGGAAAACCTTTAGATAACTTCGTTTTGACTTTCGGTGCAAATGGAAAATATCTGTGATGCTCTTTTAAAATGCAATTTGTATTTACCTGACTCCTTACTGATTGCTTTTGTTGATGGGAACATAACGGGCAATGTATTTTAATTTCATGTGTGTATCAAACTTCAGGCTGTTGCAGGTTCCATTTTATTGGATCAATGATCTATTAATATTAAATCACAGGTAAACAGAACGTACGGCTGGTGTGCTTTGGCTTCTTCTTGCTTGTGAATTCATTTCTCCTGCTTTCAGAGCTCCTACATGCTGAGAGAACTTAACTGTTGACTAAGTCTGAAAACTGTCCTTTCATGGCTCACTTCCCAAGATGATGCGCATTTGAAAAATCAGTACAAATACTGTTTGCATACATATTTGTAACGATTTCTCCACTGTTTATGCTTGGTCCGGTGAGCCAATGACACAGCTGGAAGCCAGGTGCTACAAGGTTCTCAGTAATTTTATTTTTTAGTCGCTGTTTCTGATCGATCCTGAAGTTGAATATCTGATTTAAGGGCAGTTGGGTTTTAACTTATATATCCCAATAAATACATAATAAAAATTCAATTGGATGTGTTTGGCTGTAATTACAAACACAAGATGTGTTTGGCTGTAATTACAAACACAGTTCTCAGAACTCAAATAATATAATTAACCAGCATTCTGCAAACCCCTACAGCTCAGAGCGAACAAATTAAAAATAGACAGAGAGCAGACACTTAACTAGACTTTATACTCTGACCAATAATGGCTGCTTTATCCAGGGCTCTTAAAATCAATCAATATACTAATAAACAAAGTACAGTTCAAAACAGAGTCGGTTGTAGCTGCGTGCTAGTGCACTTGGTAGTGTGAGCCAGGAGGGCCATCTTTCACAACAGACTGATTTTAAAGTGCTAAATGTGTTTTTCTCTATCAGCTAATCTTTATGATACAATAAAAAATAGCCCTGATGCTTTTACTGTATCTGTTCCTCAACAACAGGTCCCAGAGCAAAAAACAAAACACTTCAAATCTAAATGAAAAATAAAACTTGGTAGATCAACAAAATTATATTCACAGCCTATAGCATGAGTTGCAAGCGGTAAGCTTGAAAACATGAAATAATCTTTTGAAAACCGACTCCCAAACCAAACCCCAAACTAGTTATAATGGAAGAAATGATCAGATATTCTAGTGTGGGACAAAATTAAGTGCCATCTCACTGAAACAACATAATATAGTTTCCCTATTCTCATCTACACATACTTAAAACCAACAGAAAACATATGAAGAGCACCAAGTTTCACTTTCTGGTGCGCAACCTTTCTACTGCCGCCCTGGGCAACTGCCCATAGAACCCATTTCAAACATTGTGACTCCTTGTGCAAGTTAGTCTGGGATAAAATGGCAGACAGTAGACCAACAGTAGGTATCAGCAGAGACTGTAATAATGGTCTTTAAAAAAAATTATAAAAAAAAAAAATGTCTCTTGATTGGGGCTCCTCATCAAAACAGAACCTACCTAGAAAATCCACTGTTATTTAAAACACCTCCATTTTGTTCTCAAGCACTAATCACTTTATGATGCTTAATGCATGATTTATGTAGATTAAATAATCATGAAATAACTTAAGATAATTCCACTACACGTTTCCAAGAAATCTCTTTTTGTTGTTTTGTTTCTGAGAACCAACCAAAAGAAACCATGTTTATTTCCTTTCTGCTGTGACGGAGCCGCATGGTGAAACGTCACCATCTGTTAGCCCTGAAGCGGTCTTGAAAACCGAGCAAAGACAAACACAGATCCAATAAAAGCCTCGTGAAATGACTGACACGTCAGTGTTTTATCAGACTTTCTAGGCGCGCTCGTGTCATCGGCGCCATTAGCCCAACCGTGAGGTAAAAGTGAAACTGTGTGGACTCACAACGGGTCGAGTTCACTTAACACATGATGTGTTTATCTGATCCGATAAAGAGCTTAAAAAGAGCCGGCAGAAGGAGAAGGAGCAACACAAAACAAGACTGCAGCTGGACGTCTCGAGTTCATTGACATAAAGATGGATGTTTGTGTTAGTGAAACTACGAGTCCCACATGTTTTGATTAAATCCAGGATCCAGCAGATGCAAAATGATTTCAATAATTTTCAATGAAACAGTTGGAGACAAAAAGCTGCAATTAAAATACGAATGTTTATTGCTGCAGAATGTAAATGAATCCTCATAAGTCATGAAAAAAATTATCTAACCTTGAAAATAATCTAACTAAACTGCAGCATTTACATTAGCCTTGATGTGATTTATTTTTAATATTCAGTGTTAAACCGTTGTTAGAAACTTCATTACGGCTTCCTTCCTAAATGTGCTCTTCACAAAGAGGAAGATGTCTAGCATTTAGATAAAAAAAACTATATCATTCAGTCTATTATTTATGATTTCACCTTCTAAAACTTGCTTTCTGCCTATTTAATTTGTCACTTTGTAGGGTCATCTGATAACACTACAAAGGGAACGCTCTCAAATCTTATTTTATTCCCATGCCTCATTGTTGCAATTATTCTAGAACTTTAGTGTGAAAATACATTTTTTTTCTTTCAATTTGACCAAAATGTAAAAACCACTTTAATATCTTTAATGAACGCCGGGATATTGTGTTTTGTATTAATTCAGTGTTTTGTCTACTCTCTCGTTAGATCACCACTGTTTTAAGATCGTGAGAGCAGAGAGCTCCTGCAACTGATTAATACCCAACGCTAACCTGAGTGAGCTTGCCAAGTGTTAGCCTCTCTTCTTGCCACAAAATCAAAGGGCTGAGCTGGAAGACCTGAGCCAATGTGACAGTCGCTGTGATGAATTACCTACCGTCTGCCACTAAATGTGACATTAAGGGCTCAAGTGACTGCTAAAGTAAGACTGGGTTTCTTATCGCCACTTTGACCCCCGTCTGTACGCTCATTGCGGGGATGTGCCACACAATGCATAGTAAAACAATTTACGGCGCAAGGAACATAAATATAACTGTAGTTCGACTGAATGTGTAGCAATTAGACAAATTTTATAGCATTTGCCAAGTTTGAGTTTTATTATGTATTTGGTCTAAACCTACAAGGTGAATCTCCATCCCAGTCTAAAGTCTTTTAGAGCTACTAAATGTCTTTTTTTTTTTTTTTTTTTTTTTTACTGGATTAAAAAAGGGGTTTTTCCCCGGAAAAATTATTTCA